ATCTATAGAAGGGTAGACTTCTCTTTGAGCTAACACATTGGCCCTTCTCTTTCTTTCATCCTACCAACATAGCTATGATGCAATTTTCCGTTAAGTTTATTTTTAGGATTTTCATATTTTTATCTATGAAAATATTCATAAAGGGATACAGATAGGATAATTCCCTTTTATACACAACTTTTTGTTTTCACAAGTGCTAAAAATTGTCAAATTTAATAGTTTACCTAGTTTTCTGTGTACCTACCATTGATTCTTCCCCAAATTCTCTGATGGAGCTACCAAGATGTCCTAGACACAGTCAAACCCTCTGGGTGACTGAACAGTGTTGCTTTTTTCTTGAAACTTCTCCCTCTGGGGTCCCCAACCCCTAGCTCTGTATGATCTGGACTGGCTCCCCCTCCTGGCTGGCTGCACCCTTCCTGTCTCACTTCCCTCTGTACTGGTCTCCTCTGGTGATCCCCTCTTTCTTTAATCTTTTGTCTTCTTTGTTTTACTCTATTACTTTGGTGAAGATGCTTATCTAGAAGCTTCTCATGAAAATCCACATAGATTAAAATTTTAGAACACTTGCATATCTGAATATGTCTTTTTTCTCTCTTCACATTTGACTTAACCATTTAGCCAGATATTGAATTCTATGATGGAAATACATTGCTCCAATGTATTCTAGGTGCTAGTGTCACTATTGAGAAGTCTGATGTTTTACTGATTTCTGCCTGTGTGTGTGATCCTTTTTCTTACCCTTCTCTGAAAGTGTTTATCCCCATTCTTTATCTCAGTGTTTTGAAATTTCAGGATGATACATCCAGGCGTGTATCTTTTTTTCATTCATTATGTTTGACCTTTTGATAATTCCATTATACTTGGAGTTTCACACTCTTGTTCTGAAAATCCTCTTGGGGTTTATTATCTGTAATTATCTCCCTTGTTCTCTCTGGGCTCTCTTATTGAAATTTCTATGAGACTATTAGACCTCTTTGATGAATGCTTTAATTTTCCTATTATTTCTTTTCATTTCACCTCACTGTGCTTTGTCTACTTCCTAAGAGATTTCTTATATTTATTTTCTAGAAGTCTCTTTAATTTATTATAGTTATTCCATATTTAATATCCATTTACTCTTTTTTATTTTCTGACTTTTCTTTTACAATAACCTTCTGTTCTTGTTGCATGGCTACCTTTTTTTTTTTCCTGAAGCTATTAGCAGTAATTTTTTTAAAGATAATTCTCTAGTTTCCTGCTTTAATTTTGTTTCCTGTGAGTCCCTTATGTCCAATTTTTTGTTTTGTTTTGATTTTTGTTAGAGTCTTTCATAAGTGTCTGCTGATCTTTGGCTATCTGTTCATACTTCAGAGTGAGGAACCATATTGCTAACTGGAATTCTGTGATTATGAGTGGGCTTTGTTGACTAATGGACTTCAGTGTGGGGTGATTGGATCCTGGAAGTTTTGTTAGCCAAATGTCAGATTATTTAAAGACAAACCCTCTAGGTTTCCATCTTGTTGTCAGTCTTCTGGGAGCCTAGCAGGTTAAGGAAGGAGAGTGTTTTACCATTCGGTCTTTAGACTCCACTTTATGTAGGTGCTAGTTATAAAGGAGACAGACCTGAGGCCTGACCCTTAGACACCCACATTTAGAGAAGAGGAGGAAGGTGAAGTCAATGAGAGGGACATAGGACTCATCACCATGTCAGGAAGAGAACCAAGGAAGGAGGAATAGGTAAATAGCATTGACTATAGCCCAGATGTCAAATCAGTTGACTTCAGGCAGCAATTGGAAGTCTCCGCTGCTGCTGTGGAGGTGAAATCCAGCTTGTGGGAAAAAATCCAGCTTGAAGGAAATGGAGGAAGGGAAGCTACATGGCCCTATAGAGACTGAACTCTCTGTCTCACTGGACTGTTGTCCTTCTGCAGCCATTGCTGGCTCCAGTTCATGTTCCTTCCATAGGTTCTGAGTATATTCTGGGGAAATAGGGGATGTATGCACATCAGCCATCAGAAGTGATTGACAGGAGATGAGAGGGATTCTTAAATGTATGAAAGTAAAACAAACACTTTATTTAAGGAAAAGGCAACTTGGAAAAAAAAAGCCTAATAAATAACTCAGTACAGCTGGCTTAAGCACTTTAAAGCCAGTGTCTGTGATAAGCAATGAAAACATTAATATAAAATGCTTCACCATAAATGAGTACAATTCAGGCTGATGTATTGCAGCTGAGTCGGCTGTCGGATGGCATGCTTTTAAAGTGATGTTTACAATCAGTATTTTTTCCTTTGGTAACTAGAAGAAGGCAGAAATGGCTGGAAGCCCTGCCAGGGTGCGGCTCTGAGCCTCAGGAGGGTGAGAGCTCTGCCAGGGCTGGCCTTCCTCTACATCCCCTCTACCAATCAGCTTGAGATAAGGCAGTTACAGAAGTGTGATGCGGGGCTGAGCACAGAGCTTGGAGCCTGGGTTCAACTGGTGGGCAGCTGTTAGGTCTGGAGACACTGGGTCAGTATTTCTGGGCTCTTTATCTCCCCAGCTAGTCCTGGAGGTCACAGAGGGTGTCTCCCAAGTTCTTGGAGACCAGGGCCCTTATGTCCCTGCTGACGTTTCCTCTTCTCTGCTGTGGAGCCTCTTAGCAGTGTTGCCCATTGGGCTGCTTACCCCTGCAGTTCACTCAAAACAAACATGTGTTTCACTTTGACATTTTACAATTTATCAAATGGAGGGGAGAATGTAACCTGTCCTATCTTGTCAGTGTGGTTGTGGAAGAATCAGATAAAATAGCCATACAAAAGAACACAAGAATGTTCAGCTTGCATGGGAGGGGCAGAGAGAGAGAGAGAGAGAGAGAGAGAGAGAGAGAGAGAGAGAGAGAATCCCAAGCAGGCTCCACACCCAGCAGGGAGCCAGACTCCAGGCTTGATCTCATGACCCTAGGATCATGACCTGAGCTGAAATCAAGAGTGAGACGCTCAACTGTTTGAGCCACCCAGGCACCCCTAGCCTTCCTTTTAATGTATGGGTAATCTGGTAATCATCCTCAAAAGGACGTTCCTTCCTATGCAATAATAATAAGCATGTCATGCTTCCTGAGTGCCATCTTCATGCCAGGCTGGAGTGGTTCCTCCTGGGAATGTACCCACCAGCTCCTGGCTCCATGCCTGTGTAGGCAGCCTTCTCAAGGCCTTCAAAAGCCCTTTCTGTCTTCCTGTCTCAGCTCCATCAGGATTCTGCTTCTCCTTTGCTGCCAACACTTGTTTCTCTATCCCTGGTTTCTGACCGAGAAATGGGAGCTATTTTGTTTTGTTTTCTTTATCATTGTTGTCCATGAAACACATTACAAGGCCCTTTCCTTAAAGTGTTTTACTGTCAATTACTGTGGGGAGAATAAACAAAACAGCATAGATGCTGAAGAGGTCAAAGAGAGCCTTGGTGGTTGTCACTGGCTAGTAGCTCCTGAATTCTGTTTTAAACAATGACTCCAAAGTTTCCCAAAAGGGGACTGAGAGCTTCTCTAGCTATGTCTAGGGTCTCGCTGACAGCCCTTGATGACTTGAGTGAAGCCAGCCTACTCAGACTCTCACCTATAACTGTGGCTGGCTGCACCCCATGGGGGCTGGAGACCACCTTCCTCCTCCAAGCCCCTCATCAGGTGAGGAGTTGGGCTGCTTCTCTGGACCCTGAAGTGTTTCTGTTGTTTCCTTTGCATTTCCTATGGCTTCTGTCACAAATAACCACAAGATTAGTGGCTTCAAATGACAAAAATGTATTATCTTACAGTTCTGGAGGTCAGAGGTCAGGTCTCAGTGGGCTAAAATCATGGTGCTGGCAGGACTGCATTCATTCTGGAACCTCTTGAGGTGAATCTGTCATCTGTAATTTTTTTTTGCCTTTTCTGATTTCTTGAGCCCACCCACCTTCCTTGGTTCATGGCCCCTTTTCATCTTCAAAGCCAACAATGGGTCCACGTGGGTCCTCATGTCCCCACTCTGGGTCCTCATGTCCCCACTCTGATGCTGACACTCCTGCCTCTTCCATCTTTTCAGGGCCCTTGTGATGTCACTGGGCCCACTTGAATAATCCTGGATAGTTTGTCTCCCTCTCCCTCTCCCTCTCCCTCTCTCTCTCTCTTTCTTATATATATATGTATATATATATATTATATATATATGTATACATATATATATATGTATATATAGTTTAAAAAAAGTTTTTACTAATATTTGAGAGAGAGAGAGAGAGAGAGAGAGAGCGAGAGAGAGAGAGAGCATGAGCAGGGGAGAGGCAAAGAGACAGGGAGACACAGAATCCGAAGCAGACTCCAGGCTCCAGGTTCCGAGTTGTCAGCACAGAGCCTGATGTGGAGTTTGAACCTACAAACCACAAGATCATGACCTGAGCCGATGTTGGATGCTCAACTGACTGAGCCACCCAGGCACCCCTTGTCTCCCTACTTAAGGCCAGCTGTTTAGCAAACCTATTTCATGAGAAACCTTAATTCTCTCTTGTCATGTAAGGGAACATATTCATAGGTTCTAGGGATTAGGACATGGACATCTTTGGGGAGGGGGTTGGCATCATCCCTATCACAAATATCTACAATTGACTTCTCCTTGAAATACTCCCCTTATTCTTGACATAAGATGAGCTACAAACACTGCTTCCACTCTCAGGTCAAGCTTGTCTTGTTACCTGGGATCCTCAGATGGACAGATTCACTCTAGTTTCTCATGAGGCCCCAGTGGTAGGCAGGTGCCAGATTTCCAGGAGACTCCATTGCCAGCAACCAGAAGCCTCTTTAAGGGCTTCAAAGACCCTCTGTCCCTATTAGGCTTCACTCTCAATTCACACATCTGATCTGAGGGAGTGTAAGTGGCCATGTGCCCTGAGCACCACAAAAGTCCTGCTGCCACTGTAGTCACCTGCAGGGATTTTATAATAGTACACTCCAGTATTCTATACTTGAATGATCAATAATGACCAAGAATGATCAATTGCCAGATAAGATAGTTTGAACAATCAGAAACAAGAAATGTGTATACAGATCTTCCTTGTCTTATGATGGGGTTATGTCCTGACAACCGTCATAAACAGAAAATATTGTAAGTTGCAAATGCATTTAATACATCTAACCAACTGAACATCATAGCTTAGCCTACCTCAAATGTGCCCATAATGTTTATATTAGCCTACATTTGGGCAAAATCATCCAACACAAAGCCTATTTTATAATAGTGTTGAATATCTCATGTATGTATTGAATACTATACTGAATGTGAAAAACAGAATGGCTGTATGGTACAGAATGTTTGTAAGTGTATTGGTTGTTTGCCCTCATGATCACGTGGCTGACTGGTGCCTGGCATCACAAGAGAGGATTGCAGGGCATATTACTGGGCCAAGAAAAGATCACAATTCAAAGTATGGTTTCTACTGAATGCATATTGCTTTCCCATTATCATAACATTGAAAACTCATAAGTCAAACCATCATAAGCCAGGGACTGTCTGTATATAATTTCTAAGCTGGAAAGAGAAGGATAATTTTGCCAAGTTCCTATTATAAGGAAGGCCAGCTGCTCCCTCAGACACGATCATGCTGCCATTACCATCCGGTACAGTTAGGCAGCTCTAGGACCGTGGTGCAGATCCACCACTGCGTCACCTTGGGCAAGTTACTTCATCTCTTTGGGCTTTAGTTTTCTTTTTCCTCAAATGGGAAGGCTTAATTTGAAGAGTGAGCCAAAATGTACTGGATGTATTCTCTGTTCCTTTCTTCCACTATTTGCTCCGCTTCTACCTCAGTTATCCACACTACCTCTCATTGTTCTGATCATGCTTCATTTATTTCTAAAGGGCCTAGGAATGACATGTGTTAGTTTGAGGCCTCCTTCCCCCATCCCTGACATGCATGTGCATGTGCCCACTCATGGATACACACACTGGATAGAGATGTGGATATGGTATGGAATGTCTCAGACTTTTCTGCATCAAGCCTGCCTCACATTGGAGGGGAGCTAACCCCACAGGAAGAAAGGACACAGTAGGGAAGCCTCAGACAGAGGGAACTGTGGGTGGAAGAGGATCTAGAATCATCTAAATTAATCATCTACAGTTTTCGATTTGAGAAGCCATTCCCCAGGCCTAGCACTGCTGTTCCCCAAACTTTCTCTTCTTCCATGGGGGATGGTGAACAGAATCATAGGGTGGGAGGGTGGGGAGAGGGATGTGTCACTGGCTGAACCAGCAATGCTTTTTAGACCAAATCAGCCCAAACCACTCCCCTCTATACCAGAAAGACCTACACACAAAGGGCCAAACTCAGCTCTTCAGTGCTTCCTGATTGCCACTATACTTCTTTCCAGACTGCAATTATAAATTTGAACTGAACAGATGTATTATATGGAAATGCTTTAAAACATTATTAGGAACAGCTTTTGTATTAGTGGTAATAAATCCATACCCGCAGTCACTTCTCATTGCTGTCTAATTCTTTGATAACTTGAAAGATGTACATTCTGTTCCACTGTAAATTTGGGTAAGTGTATTGGTGCCCTCCTTCCTTCACTATTCTGTTCTTCTCCCTCCCAATCCACTTGTCCCACTCCCCAAGGCCTGCTCACAGCTCCATTCAGAGGGAAGAGCTCAAACCTTCAAGCATTGACTCCACTGCATGATCTTGAAGGACTTAGGTACACTTCGTGCCCCTGGTTGTAGGCTGCTCCTCAAGTGGCTCTCAATGATCCCTGCCCCCTGGCATTCATGCCCTCTGTGGGACTGGACCTAGTGACTTGAATCTAATGACTAGAATACCATGAAAGTTATGGAAATGTCACTCTCGAGGTTAAGTTATAAAAGGCTCTGATGTTCATCTTGCTGGCACTCCTTTTCTTGCCTTTTCGGCTTGCTGGCTTTGATGAAGCGAGCTGCCGTGGTGGAGAGACCCACATAGCAAGGACCTGAGGGTAGCATCTGGTTAACAGCCAGTGAGGAGCTGAGATCCTCAATCTGATGGCCCTTGAAGAACTGAATCCTGCCAACACTGGTGTATGAGCTTGGAAACAGGTCCTGCTTCATGGGAAGACTGTGGCTTCAGCGGCCATCCGGACTGCAGCCCATGAGAGATCCTGAAGCTGACCCAGCTAAGCTGGGCCCAGGTTCTATATCCATAGAAAATGGAAAATAATAGAAATAATAATAAATAATAAATGTGTGTTGTTTGAAACCACCAAGTTTTGGGGTAATTTGTTACACACCAATAGATAACTAACACACTTTTTATGTCACTGATCTGTAAAATGGAAACTTCCCTGCTAGTCCACCTAAGTATAGCAGGAAGAATAAGGTTTGAAGACACATTTCAATAGTGAAACCTCATTCTGGTTGCATCAGTAGTAGTCAGCCATTGATTTATTCCATAAATACCTACTGAGCACCAATTATGGTCAGATACTGTGCTGCGAATGTAGGCTACAGAAATGAATGTGATATCCCTATTTCCTTCGATGAGGTCATGGTCTTTGTGAGGAAGTGATATACAGTTTGGAGACAGAGTGAAACACGGTTATATTAAATGTTCTGAAATAACCTCAAAATGATTTGAGGAAGCCAGGTGCCCAATACAACCTCACATAACAAAATTGCCCACCAAAGTAGCAAGGATTCTTGGAAATCTCTAGGGATTTCCTGTTCTTCCTTTCCCACTGAGTGTACCAACCAGAAGAAATGAATTTAAGTAGGTCAGAAAGCTTAGAATTTGATGAGACCCTTGGGTACAATCCTCAAGTGTGTATATGATGTACTCGTGTCTTGAGCCCGAGTCCTAGGACATACTTTCAACTGGGAACCCCTTCAGTGTCACCTTTATAGACACTTGGCTCTGGCCCCATGACATGCTCTATCTGCAGCAAACCTTGTCTTTAGCGCTATTCATAATCCTTCCAGTGTTTTCTGTGATTTCTCCCTCTCACCTGATCTCCAAGAGCCCCTGGAAACTGAACCACATATTCCAGCACCCAGATTCTCTTTTGCTTCATAAATATTTTTTGTTCACTCATTCATTCCTTCATTTGACAAAAAGGAAACATTCGACAAAAAGGAAGCTGGGTACTGGAGCTCCAGTACCCAGTACCCAGCTTCAGTACCCAGCTTCACACCATGACAGGAGATGGGAATGGTAGTCTCTGTATAAACCGAACCCTAGAGGCCCAGACTGCATCACTGGCCACAACAGAGGGTGGGGGTGTGGTGCCTTGGGGAAAACAGTGATTAAATGAAGAACATACATAGTCTACATCATAGCTTCATTGCTTCCATGTGATGAGACTTGAACTAGTTACCTGAATCCCTGACCTCTTCTATATTCAGCAGTAACTGCCTGCAGAACATCTCCGCTCAGAAGTTCCACTATTTCTGCATTCACAACCATGAAACCCACACACATTCCCCAGAAACCTTTGGTCCCCAGACATCCAAGCATAATGTGTATCAGGGCCTTTGCACTGCTGTTCTCTCTGCCAGGAATGCTTTCTCTCTGTGCCAGAAATGGCCTACTCACTCTTCCACTTTAAGTCTTTGCTCAGATTTCACCTTCATAATGAGTCCCTCTTTTATCATAGTATTTAAAATTGCAGCCCTCCTCTTCCCACAACCTGAACAACACTTGACGTGTAATCGTCCCTCAGTACATGTTTTTAGAATGAAGTGGAGTGTTTGAGCAAAAGCTGGAAACTCATATATGTGTGTGTGTGTGTGTGTGTGTGTGTGTGTGTGTGTGTTTGTGTGTGGTTATATCATCTATATCAATATCTATATCTGTATCTACATATGTCATAAAGTTTTCCATTTAAACGATTTTTAAATATATAGTTCAGTGGCATTAAGTACATTCAGAATGTTATGCAACCATCACTTCTCCATTTCTGGAACTTTGTCTATCATCACAAACTGAAATTCTGGGCCCATTAAGCAATAGCTCCCTGAAGATATTTGCAATGGTGTATCTGATAAGAGGCTAATATCTAAAATATATAAAGAACTCATACAACTCAACACCAAAAAGCCAAATAATCCAATTAAAAAAATGGGCAGAGGACCTGAATAGACATTGTTCCAAAGAAGACATATAGACAGCCAACAGATACATGAAAAGATGCTCAACATCACTAATCATCAGAGAAATGCAAATCAAAACCACAATGAAATGTCACTTCACACCACTTGGAATGGCTAATATCAAAGATAAGAAATAACAAGTGTTGGTGAGCATACGGAGAAAAGGAAACCCTTGTGCACGGTTGGTAGGAATGTAAACTGGTGCAGCCCCTATGGAAAACAGTAGGGAGGTTCCTCAAAAACTTAAAAATAGAATACCATATATTTCTAGTAATTATACTGTTGGGTATTTACCCAAAGAAAACAAACAAAACACTAATTTAAAAAGATATATTCACCCTGTATTTAGTGCAGTAATATTTTACAATGGCTAAGATATGGAAGCAAACTAAGTATTTATCAATAGATGAATGGATAAAGAAGATGTGGTATATACATACAATGGAATAACACTCAGCCATCAAAAAGAATGAGATCTTGCACTCAGCCATCAAAAAGAATGAGATCTTGCCATTTGCAATAACATGGATGGTCATGGAGGGTATTATACTAAGTGAAATAAGTCAGACAGAGAAAGACAAATACCGTATGACTTCACTTACATGTGAAATCTAAAAAAACAAATGCACAAATAAGAAAAGAAACAGACTCATAAATAGAGAACAAACTGGTGTTGCCAGAAGGAAAGGGGTAAGAGGATGGGTGAAATACATAAAGGGGATTAAGTCATGGGGATGAAAAGCATAGCATAAAAATACTGTTACCAATATTGTAGTAACTTTGTATGGTGATGGATGGTAACAACACTTAAATCATAGTGAGCACTGCATAATGTATACAACTGTATACAGGACTATGTTGTACACCTGAAACTAATATAATATTGTGGGTCAACTTTACTTCAATTAAAAAAAAAAAAGGAAGAAAAATTGCTCTTTATTTACTCCCTCCCCTTAGCTCCTGGAAACCACAGTTCCACTTTCTGTCTCTGAATTTGACTACTCTAGCTACCTCATGTAAATGGAATCATATAATATTTGTCCTTTTGCATCTGGCATCTTTCACTTAGCATGATGTTTTTAAGGTTAATCCATGTTGTGGCATGTGTCAGAATTTCCCTCCTTTGGGACGCTTGGGTGGCTCAGTCAATTAGTGGACTCTTGATTTTGGTTCAGGTCATGATCTCACGCTGTCAGCCCAGAGCCTGCTTGGGATTCTCTCTTTCTTTCTCTCTCTCTCTCTCTGTCCCTCCCCTGCTTGTTCTCTTTCCTTCTCTTCCTCTCAAAAGAAATAAATAAATAAACTTAAAAAAATAATTTCCTTCCTTTTTAAAGTTGAATGATATTCCATTGTGCTCATATATCACATTTTGTTTATCCATTCATCTATTGATGGTGGAAGCCTCTGTTTTTTCAGAGATGATGCCCAAAGATGGCGGGTGGGCCTCGTCACCCCTTGTGTTCATCCTGATGAGTAAGAGCCATTGAGTTTTTTCTCCTATAGATTTGTGGTGATTGCTCACTAAGGGAGAGGCATTTCTGGACAATTAGAGGAAGCCCCCAAATTTTGGGTATGAAGTTACTTTTCTTTCTCCAGCACTATAGTGGAAGCTGGAGATAGAAAGAATTTATTGAAAGCTACGAGGGTGAGTTATCTACTTTATGGTTCATGAATAATGAAAAAAATAGACTCTGTCGCTAAACATTACTTATATCAATTCTTCATTGAATAGGTGACTTCAGGCTAAATGCTAAAACCAAAAAACAAAACCTGAAATTAAAAAGAACCATAGCTGAGAACAACTGAGTAATCACCTTGCTAGAGATCCCAAGGGGGCTTACACTTGGTTCTGTTGTGTGGTGTCCAAGCTCCTGTGGGAGTGGGGCAGCTAGGCACTGTCTGGTGCCCCTGAGAGGGCACTCCCATTCACTCTGGCATGATATTCCTTTGCCTTCTCTTATCCCACCTTGTTTTGCTTTGTTTGTTCTGTTTTTCACTTAATAATGTACCTAGGGGTGATGGTAATTTTAAAGAAGCATATATCAGTTTTTCTTCTGTGTTGACGTTGAACCCCCATGTATAATTTGTTGTTTTGTGGATGTGTTTGATGCAGTTCTGGGCACTGAGGGTGCTCCTCAAGACAATGAAGTGAGTCCTAAGCACCCTCCTGCCTACTTTTTTGTGGCCTTTCTAGCTCTCTCCATGAGCCACCAAAGCCTGATAGAGTGTACAAGGGTAGCCACCTACCTTCCTCCCAGGAAGGCCTTTCCCCATTGCTCTCCCTCCCTGAAGGCAGGATAACCTGGGGGAGAGTCTGGTTCCCTGCATTGCACTGATGTGTTGTGAGAAAAAAATATCATTTGACTGTTAATGGGCAAGATATGGATAAAAAGGAGAAAACTTGTAAATTATTCCAGAGAGGATGTTTGGAACTTCAGATGCAGGATCCATCTCTATGAGAACTTGGGGAGATCCTGTGACCACCCCCACAACCATGGAATTTGGAGGGGAGAAGGATCCCCTAGTTAGAACTCCAGATATGCTCTCCCACAGAAACATGTTGGGGTCTAGGGTCCTATTAGGACAGGATTGCACTCCAGTTACATAGGGCTTCAACAGGCTTCCGTGGGCTGCCTGGGACTCTAACCACCACGCACAACATGGTTTCTATGGAAAAATGCATTTTGAGTACCAGAAAACTGACATACACTCAAACTTTTGGAACGGATCCTGCTCTTAAGTTGGAGACTGCTGAATACCACATTCACAGCTAAATTATATACATAGGCCTATTTTTAAGACATATGCCTATTTCAGCTTATGTAACAATGGGAATTGGAAGAAAGAATTGATAAAAGTAGAAATCATGTTCTTGGTGGGAAAGGGGGAAGATGTGAACATTCACTATGTAGAACACATTCAGTTTTGCATGAAAGGAGAGTGGAAAACACAGAGAGAATGCTTAAAATAGTCTCTGGGTTTGTGTGGTTCACCCATGTGGGTTTTCTTTTAAGCAGTTCCACACACATACAGTTCTTAATATTGAGACCAACAGTTGAATTCTATAGTAACAAAGAAGATTGAATTAGATTAAGAGGTCAAGGTATCACCACAGCCTGCATTTTATAGGCTATGCCTAAGTCATGAAGGGTCACTAGTCTTCTGTCTCCCCTTGGTGTGTGGGCTTCCAGGATGATGGATAATGAACTCCCTGGTGCAAGACCTAGAGTCCCTTGTCCCAAATGGGCCTAAACTGCAGGTCCAGCAATAGCTTTGCATAGGACCATGCCTTGGTATCCATTTTCCAGAGCTCTCAGTAACTCAAGGTCAATACTCATATCCATTGGTCACCAACCCAGTGTTTAAAATGGTGGTTACTTTGCTCTCAAAATGAACTAACTTAAATTCATCTCATTTTACTTTACTTCAAATAACTTCATCGAACCCATTAATTCATGCAGTTAAAGTAATTCATTTCAATTTAACTACTGTAAATCAACAACTCAAATAATCTCAGGTGAGAACTGAATTCAATACCCCAAACATTGATTAAACCACTCTAGTTGGCTGGTACTGTGTTCTTAACTCTGGAAAATCACGAAGATGGTTCATTTGGCCTTTGGGTTTGCAGGGAGCTGTGGGATGAATATTCTCCTCCTCTCCAACTGTGTGTATTTTATTCATAGACTGCCCTTGTATTCTAGACAAAAATAACTAATATAAATGCTGTGAATTTAAGAAACAGTTTTAGTTCTGATTCATACTTCGTGTTTGGAATAGTGTAGTTGGTGTCTCATAACAAAAAGAAAGATATGGAGGAAAAGAGGGCAGGACTGGTATCAGAATTCTTGGGGAATTCTTGGGGAAAGCTGGCTCTTCTCCATGGCGTGCGCACTGTGTCACCCACACCCATTCCCTGTGCTCAACGCGGAGGTGGCTTCTATACCCAGGGAGGAAAGACTCCTGCTGTGTGTAGCTTCTCCATGCCTGGCCTTTTCATTAGCACAAGCCTGTTTCCCATGGGAATAGCTGCCCAAGTCTAGAAGGATAGATCTGTGTGCTGATAGTGGGGGAAGTGAGGAAAGGAGGGGGTTAGGTATGGATGCTTTCTTACATTCTGATCATCATAATGATGAAGGAACTCCAGCAGAATGGAAGGAACGTTGGGCTCTGGGTTAGGAGGCCTCAGTTCTGGTTCTTGTTATGTTGAAAACTTGCTGGGTGATCTTGTGCTGGGTGAACTTGCCTTTTGTGGCAAGCTGATTGGCAATGTGTCTTTTAACTCTATAATCGGAGCCAGAGGTGGTAACTGTGAGAGGAGAGATAAGCTGCTTGTCTTCCTGGGTGTAGCTTCTGCTGGTTCCAGCTATGGACAGCAGGAGCTGGTACAGTGTTTAGCCTATAGCTGTTCAATTTTTGGACCAATCCCAACTCAGCAGGTTAGCTTTTAGGCACTTGGCCCCATGAGCCAGTTGAATCTGAAATTGATAGTGTGGTTGTGCCCCTAGGTGTCACTGTTAAAATTTTTTCTTCAATACCAGCAGGCCCAGCTCTGCCAGTCAGAGCCATCATCATACTAGAAATATGCTCCAGGCTCTGTATTCACCATTTCCCATTCATTACTCCTTTTAGATGTCACAGCCTTTCTGTAGGGAGGCACTATCCCCACCCTTCAAATGAACAGGCTGGACTCCAGCTGATATCCACTTGATTCTGAAACTCATTCCTTTAAGTCCTAATGATACAATCCTCAAGATGGGTTTTCTGCTGCTGTTTTTACCTTGTCATCCAGTTCTTGGGAAGGAACACAATGCTATCCTGAAGCCCAGACCCACTTGTGTTTGTCTTTGACTCTCTGGCAACCTTTTTCCTAGACTCTGTGAGCCTGACCCTGTTCCTTGATTCCCAAGATAGTGAGAGCCAGTTTCTGGCACTATGTGAGCCACATTCTCATGCCAGGATGCTGCCCTCACCTGAATTTGATAACACCTGCCATCTGGCTCATTCCGCTTGCCTTCCCCATCCTCTGAACTGTAGTCCTGGGGATATCAGGACCCAGAGGAGCTAAGGCTGACTTTATCACAACTCTTTGGGTCTTTTCATCAGTGGTTTGAGGCTGGCCCTATAGTTCTCAAAATGTCCTTAGCCCTCCTATGGGCATCTTTCCTTTTGCCACCTGCCCACTGCTGAGAGCTCACACAATTCCATCAGAGTTCACTTGACTTAGGACATCTGGGGCCCGAGGGAACGGACACAGGGAAACGTGGTGATCCAGGCCTAGAAAGGAAGGTGACACCATGGGTCAAGCCGGCAGTGGGTAGTTATAGTGTAGGGCTTGCACAACAGAGCTCCATAAATACACCTTTTGTTTTATTCACATGTTCCTTTCTACTCTCACTTATTTCTTTGCTTGTGGAGAGCTCTTGAGCATGGAGCCACAGGGGAGAGAGGCCTTTTCACTGAGGCGGCCCAGTCTTGTTATGCCCGTGCTTTTTGCAAGATTTGGTTGTTTTCCATCTTAATTATGCTCTTTGCATCAGTGGCTGGCGGGCACACAACCTTTAAAGGAGTTTATCTTAAAAACCCACTCTCTCCTGAGAGAAACCATTCTATGGGGGAAATGTGAGACTTCTAGGGAGTGTGTGTGTGTGTGTGTGTGTGTGTGTGTGTGTGTGTGTAGACTGAAGTGGGGGTAGTGGTGCTGCTTTCTTGCTTACCGTTGCTTTGAGGAAGTCAGAGCTGGGTGCCTGGGGATACTTAGATGCTCCCTAGCCTCTAGTCTCATCAAACACACACAGGCTTCTTGTGATACTATTGTTGAGTCAACTGAGGACAGTAGTGACATTGTGAAGGGGAATGGGTTAAAGGAGTGACAGTATTATGAGTGTAGGTTACATTTATTTTAATACAGTGAGTAATTGTAACATATTTCTTTGAATTAAGACTTTGAAGACCCCTGGCTGAATAGAGATGCCATCCTGCAGAAATAACAGTTTATAATTATCAGCCACTCACATTTTAGTGTAAATCAACACTCAACTCCATTACCAAGTGCATGGTCTTCCCATATCTAGGAGAAGTATTAGATAATCCATTCATTTATATTTTGATTTACTCACTTGATAACTTTTTAAAAAATCTCTAAGTGTGTATTCTGACCTATACAGGAAGCCCAAACAAAGAAAAAGAACTGATCCCTTGAGGAAGTAGTTGGGGACCTGGAATTCCCCACAGGAAACAATAGAACATGACAAGGATAAATTATAGTTAGGAGGTAGACCAGGTGTTATAGACATAGCTGCACATTGATGTTGAAAGAAGCAGGCTTCAATAGGGCTGAGGTTAGCTCTGAGGAGGAGCTAAGATCTGTACTGGATTTTTGCTCTTGGAATTGCCCAGATGAGGTTGATATTAAAGTCAGGATTGATAGTATAGAGTAAATAAGGAGAAAATGAGTAGACCACAGGAACTGGAGAAAGCAGAAGGCTTGTGTTACATGTAAGGAAACACCTGCTGATTCTGTGATGGTGATGTCAAGAGAAGTCCTTTGCTCTTCTTTCCCAACATAATTGCCTAATTCATTCTTCTAAATTTTTTTAATGTTTATTCATTTTTGAGAGGGAGAGAGAAAGAGAGAGAGAGTGAGAGAAGGGCAGAGAGTGAGAGACATAGAATCCAAAGCAGGCTGCAGACTGTCAGCACAGAGCCCAACACAAGGCTCAAACCCACAAACTGTGAGCTCATGACCTGAGCTGAAGTCAGACACTTAACCGACTGAGCTGCGTAGGCGCCCATGATTCATTCTTTCTTAAGCAGTGTCCATCTCTGGTTTGAATTTTCTAGCTTCCAGGCTACCAGGTATGATGCTCTACATTCACATACTAGGTGCTTAATTAATGTATTCAATCAATGAAAAGAATGAATCATAAATAGTGTTGAGCATATCTACTAAGCTGAACTACTTTGGTTCTTCTGTACTAAAGTTCATCTATCCCAAACCTGAAAGAGGGGTGATCTAACAACAAATGCTGCAGTTTAATCCCTGGTCACATTTCCATTCTCTCTCTGTTTTTCATGAGCATTCACACGGCCTCACTCAGAATCATTCAGACATAGCTTATTTTGCCGTTCATGTGCTTAGATGCTGTGGAATAGCCAAGCCAAAAGGATGCCACCCTTGCTCCTAAGGACTTAAAATTGGTTGTTAATTTTATATGGTGGGCAGTGAGGAATTTCCCTGGGAAAAAAAAAGATATACTCTATAATAAAATGTCACCCCAACTCTGCATACAACTCTGATTTATTTACTAATGCTGTGACCCCTCATTAGATTATATCTTTGAGAAGGTGTACCATCTGAGAAAGAGGATTAGATATATCTGACGTGTGTGATACTCTTTCTGGCCATGAGTCCGTTCACCCAGCTGAGGATGGGCTCCCCAATATAGCATAAGCACCAGGGTCTCCTGGAGGAATGCAGTGACTCAGTGTCCCATTGGAATTCCATGTGCTCAAATTTGTCACCAATTCCTAAAACTTCTAGATGTGACCATATGTGGTCTTGTGGCTTCTACAAAAGGCCCTTTTTGTGGGGCCTCAGCCTACAGCCATGCCACGGATCAGGAGACCTACCTGCTACTCAGCTCAGTTCCCAGCCCTCCACAAAGAATCTGGAATTGAGACCAATACTAAGATGCTTTCATAATCTGTTATCCTCTCTTACTATTTCTTTCTAACCAGGAAGGCAGAATATTTAGACTTCCACCAAATTCCCAAGAAGCTGACCTTCGAATCTGCACTGTCATTGCTCAGGTCTTTTCCCACCCACCCAATGGCCATGCCAGAGGGTGGACTGGCTGTCACCGCAGTGCCCAGGAGGGTGAATGGCTGCTTCCTGTGTGCCATGATGCTGGCAACAACCATGCCAGTCCTCCAGTCTCTCTAGCTGGGTGATTATCAGGATGATAATGCAGATAGCACTGCACTTGTGATGGCTTTATGATTCAGTAAACATTGAGCAGAACAGAATCAGAGACATTAAAGCTCAAGTTGGAGAAACAGTGGACAAAACCAGACCCAGCCCAAGAGGTGAGGTCACACTAGGGTTGGACAGAAGATACTCAGGTTGAGTGGGACAACTTCTAGGACCAGAACTGCATGGAACCAAAACTGGGAGAGTCAGAGAAAAAGGGCAGCTGGACATAATTGTCATGGATGAAATCTTGCTAGTGAGCCCTTCCCAGCCATGCTATGGTGCTGATACAATGTGGGGACATTTTATTGAATCCATTGTTGGAGCAAGACAGCTCTCTTCTGGGCTACACTCCAGCTTCTCTTTCCTTAGAGCAGTGGTTGAACCAGGGTTAGCAGGCAGGGCTTAGGGCCAGGACTGGGTGTGCTTCCCGTCCTGGGTTAGGCCCCATCTCCTTCTCACAGTAAACCCCACCCACCTGCTGCAGCTTGCCCCTTCTGCCTCTGCCTAGTCCTTTCTGTATCCCCAACTCCACCCCCAGCCCCCACATCTGGGGCAGCATCACAAGGACTTGGGTTAATTGCTGGTTATTCTGTAGGTGACTCTGGTTTCTTCATTATGCTAGTATTGGTCTCCTTTTGTATTTGTTTGAGATGGAGATCTCAGGGCTGTTCACAGTAGGGTCATCTGTCATGTTGATTGCTGGTTTGATATTTCCTTCTCTTCCCACACCAATCACACACTTCTCCCCAGCCCACCAATTTCTCTATACACTTTGTGGGGTGAGGCTAAATTTACCTTTTATTCTCTCCATTAAAAGTCTGCTTGGATGTTGGATGCTTGTTTTTTTGGCTAGCCTGAACTGACTCCAATGTATCAAAAATGCCAATCAATAGTACCTTGACCCTCCTGGGCATAGAATTGGTTTTATCTGTGTTTCATGTTTGTAATTTCTGTTGGGTCATTTTTCTCTTAGTATCGTATTTGAAGATCTAGCCAGGTACTGGCTGGGAACATTGGGATGAGGAAGATGTAGTGCGAATAAGATCCTAAGCAGCCCATGGAGAGAATGAGAACAGAGGACTGGAAGGACGGACTTACCCCATGGAAAGTTCCAGGAAATTCAGGCCTGTGAGTAAAGTGCTGTGCCCCACTGGTACAATAATCACAGGCCACATTTGATTAATCTGGGCTGAATCAGCACTGGGGTACCGGGACAGATAACACTTATGAATACAGATGGAAAGTGTGTCTCAGGACACAGGAACAGTTGATAGGTTGGGACCCCCTTTGGTATCTAGAAGGGGAATTCCAAGAGCCAAGAAGCATCCTCTCCTAGGAAGGACTGGGCTTGCTTATTCTTCCCTTCCTCCTTTACTTCATCACATAATTAACAAACACTCAGTAGCTCTGCTGGGTCCTGGGGCAATCTGATTAACAAACAGAAAGACTCTTTGGAGCTCAGAGGGGAGCAGACTAAAACTAAACAAACAAATGCATGAAATAACTACAAATTGTAAAAATATCTATGAAGGAAACAAATACTGCTAAGAGAGCAAATGATGGTGGGAGGTGGTTGGAGCAAGAAAGCCAAGACTTGGGGCTCCTGGGTGGCTCATTCAGTTAAGCATCCAACTTTGGTTCAGGTCATGATCTCATGGTTCGTTTGTTAGAGCCCTGTGTCGGGCTCTGTGCTGATAGCTCAGAGCCTGGAGCCTGCTTTGGATTCTGTGTTTCTCTCTTTCTCTGCCCACCCCTGCTTGTGCTCTGTCTCTCTCTGTGTCACAAAAATGAATAAACATTAAAGAAATAATAATAATAATAATAATAATAATAATAATAATAATAAAAAGAGTAAGCCAAGACTTGAAGGATGAGATGGGGCTGGCCAAGTTCAGAACATAGAAGAGAGAACTGAAAGTAGTGGAAACAGCATACAAACAGGTCCTGAGTTAGAAAATCCTTGACTTGTTGAAGGAACTAAACAGGGATCAGGATGGTTAGAGAATGGGCAAGAGGGAGAAAAACAACTTACTGAAGCAGACAGAGCCATGGAACCGTTATCTGTTAGCTTTTGCAAACAAAGAACTTTAACATTATGTGGCAAAAAATAATAATGAGATATTATTTTTTGTGATTCTGTGGAGTTATTCTGGTCTGGGCATGTGGCTGGGTCTGGAAGGGCTAGAATGGTCTTACTTGCACGTGTAGAGTCTCAACTGGGATGGCAAGGATGGTGGTGGCTGGGCCTCTTTCTTCAAGGTGTCTCTTTTCTTATAGGAAGCCCAGGCTTCTTCCACATGGTGGTTGCAGGATTCCTAGCAGCAAGAAAGGGCTCCATGGAGCAAGAGCTTTCTAAGCCTCTGCTTGAGTCACAGTTGCCAATGCTCTATTGGCCAAAGCAATTCACGTAGCCAAGTTCTGATGGAAAGGCCAGAAAAATAAACCTCTAGAGGGTAGGAACTGAACAATATGGCAGTTTTTCAATTTAGTCTTAGGAGTGAAAGTAGAAGTTTTGTTTGTTAATTGGGTGTCTGGGCTGGGCTTCATTCAATTATTCCTTCCTTCCTTCCCTCATTTCTTCCTTCCTTTAAAAAATTATCTACTGTGTGTCAAGCACTATCTTAGATCTGATGCTGAGTAAATTGGACCTTATCGTCAGGTAGTTCGTATTATAGTGGGGGGTATACACAAACAGCCACGGGCAATTCAGGGTAGCCAGCACCGTAGCAGGGGTGTGCCCGAGTATAATGATGAGAGACAGAAGAGGGCACTCACCTCAACAGAGTGGTGAAGGAAGGAGCTGAATCATAAAGAATAAGGAAGTGAAGATAGGCATTCAGGGAACAGGAGGAGAATGAGGCAGATATCTGAGGCCAGCAATGATTAGAGGCTGAGCATGGAAATGGGGGACTGTTGCAGGCCACATCTGGTCCTGAGCACAGGGGTCAGGGCTGGGCTTGAATGCACAATGGTGGTGGTAGGAATCAAGGGACCCTAGCACTGGGGAAGGGGAGAGGTGGGGCTGGGTCTAACAGAGACTGCAGATGGTCCTGGTGTCTGATTCTGCACACTATGCTCAAGACCCTCTGAAGCTTATGCCAGTGGTCTCCCATCAGACGGTGGATCCCTGAGTCATATAGTCAGTGCTCGCAGACTGCCTTAGCAAAGCCCCAGCACCTCCTGGCTAGAAAGAGTTTCCCGAAGCCCCCATACAGATTGTGTCCTAAAGGGACTATAGGATATGAGTGTATTGTTCACTGCACTTTCCATGTGCAGGGGGTAAGGATAGGGAAAGAGAACGATTCTCGAGAAATGTGTATATTTATCCTGGCCTCGCCTTAAGAAAACCCAGCCACCAATCCATCAAAAATGAATTTGAGTTTGGATAACATTAGCGTTTAAGGCAATGCTCTTCTCTTGTATTGATTCTCTGTGGGTTGAAATGGAAACAATTTTAGAAATGTAGTCTTAGGTTTCCTTAATCTGCGTGGCTCAGGGAGGAAAAGGCTGTTGTCACTCGTGCTAATAACCACAAGGAACGCGGTTCTAAAGTGCTTAGCTGGAAAATGAATTCCAGAAGCCAGCCCGGGCAATGCCTCCAGGGAAGTTGTTTTCCTAAAAATTCAGCCTTTTTCTTTCCTTCAAGGGAGTTGCCTCAGGTACAGAATCACTTGGGAAATAAAAACTAACATGCAGCATTAAGGATTCCTAAGAAAGGAGGAGTCAACATGGGGTGGGGTCCTCATTGTCATTGGCAGGGTAAGGGAAGGGGTTCCTTGTGCAGTTGACTTTGGAAGTGCAAGAGAGGTCTCAGCCTTCACCATACAAATGAATATCTGCTGGGGCGCCTGGGTGGCTCAGTCTGTTAAGCATCTTGATTTTGGCTCAGGCCATGATCTCATGGTTCATGAGTTTGAGCCCCACATTGGGTTCCATGCTGACATTGTGGAGCCTGCTTGGGATTCTCTCTGCCTCTCCCTCTCTGCTCCTCCCCTGCTCATGCTTGTGCTCTATGTCTCAAAAATAAGTAAATAAACTTAAAAAACTATCTGCTTGGAGTTCCATTATGATACATTCTTTATCTTTTTATTTTATTAATATATTTTTTTTATGATACAGTTATTCTTTAAATTAAGGTATTGGAAGTACCTGTTCAAATGTGTGTGATGTTTGACTGTCTTAGCAGAAAGTATGTGTCAGGTTAACATGGAGAGCAGAGAAGGAAGGAGGGTTTATAGCATGGGGCACTGCACTGGGAAGAGAAAGCATGGTAGGGCTAGCAAGGGACAGTGAGAGGTCATGGAGTATCTAGGTTTGGTGTCTAAGTGCAGTGAGGCTGGCTTCCCCCACAAGGAAGCTCTAGTCCTGCTAAAGAAAGTCTCTCTGTAATTTGAGCTGAGCTTTCTAAAGACCCAACATTTGAAGCCTTGTGTCCCAATCCTTTGACTGTAAGAGAAGAAGGTAGGTAAGTCAAAACTGAAATGAGAATGGAAGTCAACAGCCCTTTTCCCTAAGAACTTTCCCTTTTGCATCTTGTAACTAGTAGAGCCCTTGTGGGTATTTGTCCGTATAAATATGGGCTCTATTTGCATAAAGTGTTGGCACTGTTTGCAGCGTACCTCAGAGGAGCTATCTGTCCTGTGGCCTTTTCTGTTTGTCACCTGAATTTTATCACTTCACACCTTTCTCCTTCTCACCACCCACTTATCCTGACCCAGATATGGGGGGCCAGAGAATGGGAGGAGTTTGGAAGGTGATGACAAATGGACCTGGCTTCTGGACACTAAGTAGGGTCCAAATCCTGCCTACTTCAGAGAGTGACCTTCCTTTTCCTCTTCTCAGGGCTTTAACAGCCCTCTGTGGCAGCCATATGCCTCCAGCATAATACCTTCCTTTTCAGTGTAAGTCATTTGCTCCTAATAATTATAATCCATATGTCCATCAGCAGCATGCATTTGGGCATAGCTTGGGTGCATGGCTGGCTCAACACAGTGGTGATATTTCAGAGACACAGACCTAGGGACACAGGTTGGGGTGGCCTCCCTGAATCCCTGCCAGGGGGCCAGAGCTCTGGGGAGTGGGCCCCTCCTGTCACATTGTCCAGGCTCTT